CCTGGGTTTAGGGGGGCAGCACTGGGGAATTGGGGGGGTCCTGGGTTTGGTGGGGCCGATCCCCCCATGCTGATGCTGGGGTGGGCAGCGCCGGGGGGGTTGGAAGGTCCCGGGTTTGGGGGGACCGGCCCCCTCCGCTGACGCCGGGGGGGCAGCGCCGGGGGCGCAGCAGTTCTGCTTCCTGCTGTCGACGCGGGCCGGGGGCCTCGGCATCAACCTGGCCACCGCCGACACCGTCGTCATCTTCGACTCCGACTGGAACCCCCACAACGACATCCAGGTCTGTCACTTGCCCGGCATCACCCACCCAGCACCCTATCACCTGCCCTATCTCCCATCCTGATACCCTGTCCCCAACCCTCCTTCCATTTCTCCCGCCCTGTCCCTGCGTCCCCCACTGTGTCCCTGTCCCCCACTGCCACCACAGACCCCACCACCACATCCCTGCTCTAAAGGGTCCCCCACCGTGTGTGCGACCACCATGTCCCTGCTCTGACATGTCCCCCATGGCCTTGGCCCTGCTCTGACATGTTCCCCATCACATCTCCCACTGCCACATCCCTGCTCTGATGTTCCCCTCATCAAGTCCCCTGCCACCATGTCCCTACCAACGTCCCCCCACCCTCTCCCCACCACCGTTTCCCGTCCCTGACATGTTCCCCATCTTTACATCCCTTCTCCAACACATCCCCGCTGATGTGTCCCTGTCCCCACAGGCCTTCAGCCGGGCGCACCGCATTGGCCAGGCCAACAAGGTGATGATCTACCGGTTTGTCACGCGCGCTTCGGTGGAGGAACGCATCACGCAGGTGGCCAAGCGCAAGATGATGCTGACGCACTTGGTGGTGCGCCCGGGACTGGGCTCCAAGGCCGGCTCCATGTCCAAGCAGGAGCTTGATGATATCCTCAAATTCGGCACTGAGGAGCTCTTCAAGGACGAGAATGAGGGTCAGCGCCCAGCGGGGTTGGGGATGGGTGGGACAGGGTGTGCTGGGCTTTGGGGGGGATGTGGAAGGCCGTAGTGGGCCATGGGGGGCTATGGTGGGACATGATGAGATGTGGGAGGCTATGGGAGGCCATGGTAGGATGTGGGAGGCTGTGGTAGGACATGGGAGCCCATGGTGGGCTATGTCTGGGCTTGCAAAGCTATGATGGGATGTGCAAGGTCACAACGGGGCCATGATGGGTCATGCAGAGCTGTGGTGGGACGTGCAAGGTCATGATGGGTCATGCAAAGTTATGGTGGGATGTTTGAGGTCGTGACAGGATGTGTGAGGCCATGGTAGGACATGCGAGGCCGTGAAATATTATGCAAACCCATGATGGAATGTGCAAGGTCATGATGAGGCCATGGTGGGACATGTGGGGTCGTGATGGTGCTATGACAGGTCACGAAAAGGCATGATGGGACAGGCAAGAACATGATGGGGCCATGTTGGGGCCCATGAGGCTGCGGTGGGACATGTAGGGCCATGATGGAACACGTGAGGCCATGATGGGACACATGAGGCTGTGACGGAAGGTGCGATGCCATGATGGGGTGTGAGAGGCTATGACAGGGCTGTGATGGGACATGTGAGGTGGTGACCAGGTGTATGAGGCTATGCCACACTGTACCAGGCTGTGACAGTGCATGTCAGTGTGTGTCAGGCCATTCTGGGCCATGTTGGGCCATGTCAAGCTTTGCCAGGCCTTGTCAGGCTGTGTTGGGTTGTGCTAGCCATACTGGCCCATGTTGGGGCATGCCAGGTTGTGTTGGGTCATGTTGGACCATGTTGAGCTGTGTCAGGCCATATTGGGTGTGTTGGACCATATTAGGCCACATTGGACTGTGTTGGACCACCACAACGGAGTGTGTAGGTCCACAGTGGTCCACGTTGGGCTGTGTGGGCCATGTCGGGCCATGTTGAGCCGTGTTGGGCTGTGCTGGACTATGTTGGGCCATGCTGGCCTGTACTAGACCATGTCGGGCCATGTGGGGTCATGTTGGACCATGTTGAGCCATGCAAGGTCACATGGGGCCACCTTGGACCATACTGGGCTACGTTGGGCTGTACTGGGCTGTGTCAGTCTATGTTGGGCCGTGTTGGGCCTTGTTGAGTCGTGTTGGGCCGTGCTGGACCATGTTGGGCCATGTTGGACCATACTGGGCCATGTTGGGCCGTGTCGGGCCACGTTGGGTTATGTCGGGCCATGTTGGGCCATGCTGGGATGTACTAGGCCATGTGGGGCCGTGTTGGACCATGTTGGGTCGTGTGAGGTCATATTGGGCCATGTTGAACCATACTGGGTCGTGTCAGGCTGTGTTGGGCTGTGTCAGCCTATGTTGGGCCGTGTCGGGCCGTGTTGGGCTGTGTTGGTCTGTCCTGGGCTGTACTAGGTCATGTCAGGCTGCGTTGGGCCACGCTGGGCCATGTTGAACCACGTTGGACAGTGTTGGACTATGTCAGGCCATGTTGGGTTGTATTGGGCTGTGTTGGGCCATGCTGGACCGTACTAGGTCATGTCAGGCTGTGTTGGGCCATGTTGGAGCATGCCAAGGCCATGTTGAGCCGTGCCAGGCCCTGATGGACCAAGTCAGGCCGTGTCAGCAGCGTGTCGCCGGCGCAGGGGAGAACAAGGAGGAGGACAGTAGCGTCATCCACTACGACAATGAGGCCATCGCCCGGCTGCTGGACCGCAACCAGGATGCCACCGACGATGCCGATGTGCAGAACATGAACGAGTACCTCAGCTCCTTCAAGGTGGCCCAGTATGTCGTGCGTGAGGAGGACAAGGTGCGCCCGGGGGACAGGGACACGAGGACACGAGATAGGATGTGAAGGGGAGGACGGTGGGGACAATGGAAATGGGGACGCTGGAGATGATGGAGGTGGGGACAATGGGGACACTGGAGATGATGGAGGTGGAGACGATGGAGGTGGGGACAATGGATATGGTGGAGTTGGGGATGATGAGGATGGAGATGATGGGGATGGTGGGGATGGGGACACTGGAGATGATGGAGATAGAGGTGATGGGGAAAACAGGGGTGATAGAGATGGGGACAGTGGAGATGGGGGTGATGGAGATCATGAGCATGGGGATGATGGAAATGATGGGGACGATGTGGTCTGATAATAGGGATGGGAACAATGAAAATGATGGAGATGAGGATAGTGGAAGTGGAAATGACAGGCAAATCAAGATGATGGAGAAGAGAAGGATGGAGACGAGGATGGGGACAATGGAAACAGTGGAGATGGGGATGATGGGATTGGGAATGATGGGGACGATGGAGATGGAGGTCATGGGGATGATGGAGATGGAGGTGATGGGGATGAGTATGATAGAGGTGGAGATGGGGATGATGGAGACGATGAGAATGGGGATGATGATATAGATATGAAGGTGATGGGAACGATGGAGGTGGAGGCGATGGAGGTGGGAGATGATGGGGACAATGCAGATAATGGTGGTGGGGACGATGGGGATGGGGGATGATCAGGGTGGAGCTGATGGAGCTGGGGACGCTGGAGCCAGCGATGACAGATGTGGTGGTGACAACCTCAGGCCAATGAGATTTCAGCGGGTGCCCGCGGGTGCCCTGGGTGGCCGCTGACAGTGCGTGTGCCAGCAGATCGAGGAGATCGAGCGGGAGATCATCAAGCAGGAGGAGAACGTCGACCCTGACTACTGGGAGAAGCTGCTGCGACACCACTACGAGCAGCAGCAGGAGGACCTGGCGCGCAACCTGGGCAAGGGCAAGCGGGTGCGCAAGCAGGTCAACTACAATGATGCTGCCCAGGAGGACCAAGGTGAGCACTGGGAAGGCACTGGGAGGGCACTGGGAGGATGCTAGAACACACCAGGAGTTACTGGGAGGGGTTCTGATGCACTGGGCACCCTTGCCCAGGTACAGGGCAGCTGGGGACGCTGGGAAGCTCTGGTAAGGTATTGGGAGGGCACTGGGACAGACTGGGAAGCACTGGTAAGGTACTGGGACATGTTGGGAGGACACTGGAGCAGACTGGTCAGTTACTAGGACACAGTGAGAGGGCACTGGGGGAGTCCTGATGCACTGGGTACCCACATCCAGGAGGACAAAAGCGGGTACAGGGCAACTGGGAGCACTGGGTGCCATAGTTGGGAGGCACTGGGAGTGAGCTCTGTCAGTACTGGGAGATACTGGGATGGTCTGGGAGGCACTGGGGGGGAGTCTTGATGCACCAGTAGGGGCACTCAGGAGGACCAAGGTGGGGTACAGCGGAACCAGGAGGTTACTGGGATGTTCCTCAGGAGCACTAGGACAGATTGGGAGGGCACTGGGACAGACTGGGAGGCACTGGGAGGGCTCTGGGCTAGCCTGTCCTACATCCGGGGGTGG